GGGGCAGTAAGGCGGGACTAAGCAGGTTTTTCACCCTGGGTTACATACAACATGCCTGGAACTTTCCCCTCATCCTCCATGCGACGCAGTCATATTGTAAACAAAAACGATAAGCCGGCTCTGATATCTCAAGTTTAAATATTGACGTCTGCTGGCGCTCATGTTGATTTCCCAACTTGGAAATCAGAAAATCTGACCTCTGAGTACAAAGAGAGCGCACCAAAAGGTATAATATTATGAACATTACCCATGTATACTGAAAAACTAAATGTAGCTTGTATTTATTTTAAATTCTTACTTTAGATTATCAATCATAAAAAGAAATCACAAAATAAGACAAAACATTTTTATTTTAAGTTATTTTACAAAATTCTTGTCTTGTTTTTACAATGTCATGAATTGTTTTGCGAAATCTTTTGTTAAAACTTCACCTAATAGTCACATTTAGCCTGTAAACTGAACTTGCCATGCAGCTTATTAAAGCTGTCCATAAAGCGATAAGTTGGAGCCCAACATAATTTACACTTTAAGGGCTGAAAATAAAACTGATAGCAAAGATGACAGTGCAGCACCTTTCCTGACCAACCTTTTATTGTCATGGTTTCCACAGGTTGGCTCATCAAGGCTGACCAGAAACATACAGATGACGGTTTAGCGTGTTGGTGGAATATCTTGTCACCACTGCACAGTCAAGGTTCATGGAGATAGGCCTCTAATGCTCTGGGTTGTTCTTGCACCAAGCCATAGATAAACACTCTGTGACTCACAGAAAGACACACGCAGAAGTGAACTCAGAGACACACACCACCGCCAGATAATTGGACAGGAAACCTTCCTCTAGATCAAAAACTTCTGTGCCAGCTGAATTCCTGCCTGGTCCACCAATGAGTCTCCAGATTGTGAAAAATGTAAGATTGAAAACAGGATGGGGGGAGGGGGGGTAAAGGAGGGGTGAAAAAAAAAAAGCCACAATGACAAATCACCAACGCTCGTTCCAGAGAGAGAGAGAAAGATTTGTTAGAGACGCAACATGATGCATAATGAAAATAGATGCCTGTACCAAGGCATTCTGGGCACGCTGTTGGTAACCATTTAAAATCAATCCTGTCAATGCATCATAAGTTACTTTGACAGGGAGCAAGAGGCACTTCAGGAAACACCAGTTTAATGATGTCTTTAACCTGCCGGTAATTGACCTCCAAATTGAAAGGGAGAAATCGTATTAAAAGCCCGGGGCAGGCGATTATAGTTCTCTGCTGCTTCTGCACGCTATACATCATTTCTGATCAGACCTGGGTCAGCATAAACCAAAGTGTTTTTCTTCCCCCTTGCAGAAAAACAGAGGTCTCTGTATACAGTAGCGAATGACTGTACTGGTGCCGGAGCGGATTTATGTTCTGTGTTCGCCGCTGCCTTGTACTTTCGCAGCATGGTTGGGTTGTTTTTACCCCAAATATAAAGACACATATACAGACAAAGACTGAGAATCCCAAGTTATATTTGGGAGCCTACAGATAACTGCGGCAAACAATCAGAGTAGCAAGAAAAGGAGCAGTACGTAACAGAAGCTTTTAATATAAAAGAGACTTGCATACTTACACTCCAATACAACAACAACAAGCTTCCAAAGAGCATCATAGAGTTAAGAAAAAAAAAACACAGCTTGAATACCCGCCATCTGGCTGCGTTTAGGAAACAAATGACATCAGATTCATGTGTGACTTCAGGAATAGAGACATTATAGTCTGCTGTCAATTTACTTTCGCTTTGTTACGTTACTCAAAAATTTTAAGCCCACATCAAATGACTTTCGTTCCCTTTTGTTTCGTGGCAGCCTTCCTCATCTTGACACTGAGTGCCACGTTGCATGATGCGAGCGGCATCAGAACCGCGCAGCCCCGGCCACCCAGCACCACGCAGGCAGCAGCTGCTTGTGTACCCCAACCACGGCCAGCAGCAGCAGCTTGCAGAGACATGAGTGCTAGCCGCTGTCCAGAGACGACAGAACCTGTTCCAATTTAATTAATACTAGAGCGGCCCACCCAGGCATCCTGAGCATCCCTTCTTTCTTCTTCTGGTTTCTCCTACTGTCTTAACCCCACAGCATTTTTTTCAGCTGATAAAAAAAAAAAAATAGTCTGGGATTCAGTAAAAGCTGCTTTTCCTCTTGAAAGGATGTGATCGTGGAGTTTTAAATGGTTATACACATTTCTCTCAACTTTGCTTAGGAAAAAGTTCTTGGATGTACGGACATATGAACAGGTGACAGAATGTAGCTTCTCATTTGATTCTCCCACCATATCAGTCAGGTTTTCTTTAAAAAAATCATAGCACAATAAAGGTTTCTGTAAAGATCATGAAGCCGTTCTGTCTCAATGTTTTTGGATTGTATGCTTGTATGCTTTTGATCAGTTGATTTTTATTAAATATCTTACAGATAGCTTTACGGTTATTCCCAAACATGACTTTTGGTGGTTTTGCAGATTATCTCGAGGGTTGAAATAGATCCCACTGAGGATTAGATCTGATTTTAATAAGGTTCAGCATTTATACATGAGGGAATGTTAAGTCTGAGCAGACTTTATTCATAAACATGTCATCCACTTTCAAATAAAGAAAACCTATTGTGTCTAAAAGAGGCCCAAACTTGAGACATACATACAAACACAAACATTTAAAACTTGGTAAGGACTGCAAAACAGAATGTATAACACACAATAAAATACCAGTAATCTCCAATTATAGTCTCAAGAGAGAGATTAGTTTGATTTAGTAACAAAATAATTTCTTCAACATCATTGTTCTAGCAATGATGTTGCTGTGATAATATGAAGAAAAAAACTGCATGTGGCAGATTTGTTAATTTCTATAAAGCTGAAGCTCTGGACTTCATGACAGAAATACATCCAGCTTTTATTTTTAATGAAGTCAACGTTTGTACTATTGACCATTTTGCCTGCTGCTGATTGTGAAGTTATATTGTCATCATAATTGTCTGCTCAACGTCCTATTCATCTTATGTGCATGCTTATCATTACAGCGAATTCAAAGACAAAGTCATTCTGGATAAACAAGGAAATCAAGGTAATTGTGAGGATGAAATGATCAATTACCTGCAATGATTTCATTGATTCCTGAATGACTCAACAAAATCAAATCTTGAATCTGAATAACTTCATCCACCCTTTATAGTTTTTTGTGTGTGAAAACCATAAAGCCTAGAAAACCTGTGTAGGTGTTTCAACAGATTGTTTTCAATTAGTTTAGTTATTTTATGTAAATAAAATGCGTTTCAGCTACTTCGAGCAAATCTCCCTTGCAAAAAGAAACAAACCTGATGGGAAACAACGTCACACAGACAGCAAGGGAAGTAACGGAGACAACAGTGCGTTGCTGTTGAACAGGATGTGGCAGAGGAGGCCTGCACGCTTGATTGTAATTGCAATCATGTTCAATGGCTTGCTCAGGAGTCACGGGGTGGAAGTAGGAAGACTGACGGTGGTTTGACTGAGAATGAAGTAGGATGAGGAATGACAGGAGAGGCGGAGAGTAAGCGTGTGCCCATATGCTGCTGGGATGGAGGGAATCTCTGAAAGGAGATTTCACCCGGGCCAAGTCTCCGCACAGCCTCAGGATCGGTCCAAAGTTGAGCGGACCAAAACAGAGTCTCAGAGGGATGGAGAGGAGGACGAGGGCTTGTGGGTGTCTGTTGCTTTCTGGAAAAGTAAAAACAACAACAAAAAAAGTATATTTTAATCAACCAACCAAGAAAAGTAAAAGAAAAAAGGCTGCTGGGAGGATTTTCTTTTCTTCACAATAAATTATTTTGACATCATAATGCAGCAGAAATCAGTGGTAGAAACATAATTCATCCAATAACATTTGTATGACAAGAATATACAGTTATACATCCTAACAGTTAAAAACACAAATTGTGCTGATTAGCTGCTTTGTATAATGAATCTACACCACAACATGTACAGGAAAATAAAAAAAAATGAATTTTATCACTCATCAAGTATGCAAACAATATAATGTATGTTATTTGAAAAATAAAACAAAATTTGAAACTCTAAATTGTACATTTAATTTTCTCAGATTTCAAGGAGTAACAAATAATCAAACAAGTATGCCTCCAGTTCCAGGACTTTGCCTGAGCTCTGCTTTGTAACCTTATTTCATTCCTCTGGATTGAAATAATGTTATCGTCGAACTCAACAAAAATTAACCCAACTGTGAAAAAAAAAAAATCCTGGATATAAAGAATTATTCCTTGCATTGCCCTGCTGATGGTAATCCAATCTGTCATCATGTTAAGAGGCATCCTAGCCACTCCCAACCCAGCTGCCCTGATACTGTACAAACACAGTCATCCTGTCACCAATGCTGAGAGCAGCAGAAGGGACAACACGGGACAGGTGGTGGCTACATGTGAATCATTGTTCCTGTAAGAAAACACAACAAGTCCCACTGGTCCTCAGACACTCCTCCTTCTCCTTATTTCTTTCCTCTTTCTTCCTCTTCAGCCACTCTTTTCTGCCCTTCCTCCTTCTCTTTCTCAGATTAGGTGTGAAGAATAATTAGCGAGTGCTGAGGAGTACTGGGTGGACCGGATACTCTCGGGAGCCTGGTCACTTTGCCACCAAATGTCCCTGGCAACACAGATGACGATGCATCTGTAATGAGAGAGCGCTACTGTATCATGTCTGAGTGTGTCTCTGAAATATTGTCAACAATTGGTATGAGTTTTGTTGGATCTGTTTGCTTTCTGACTTTTTTCAAGATTTACAAAGATGATTTTTTTTTTTCTCTTAACCTTTCTGCCATTTGTTGGCTTTTTTTTACATAAATGTTTGAACCACTGCACCACCAAGAAGAAAGATATGACGATATAAGTCATACGGTTTTTCATCTCCTAAACAAACAGTATTCTATTTTGTTAGGATTTTATGTAACCGATCAACAAAAAGTAGTGTGTAATTATTAGATAGGATACATTGATTTAATCAGAAAAATGTGGTGTGTGTGTGTGTGTGTGTGTGTGTGTGTGTGTGTGTGTGTGTGTGTGTGTGTGTGTGTGTGTGGACTTCACTTCTCTCCCCAGAGTCATTATGTTATGGAGTCGAAGATCCAAGTGATCTCAACTTCAACAGATGCTTTCAATTCACTTTTTTTGTTGGATTTAGGTCAAGACTTTGAGTCATTTTAATACATGAATATGATCTGATCTAAATTTTTCTATAATAGAGCTAACTGTATGTTTAAGGTTACCTTTAGCAGTAACATTTTTCTCAACTACTCCACAATTATGTGAAGTGAAACATATTTCATAATTCTCTGAAGTTTGTAGTTGCAACATAACAAAATATAGAATAGTAATAAAAATACAGCTTACTTTTTGAAGTTAACTCTAGCAATTAAGCATTTTTTTATATTTTTTTAAATCTACCAATTAGGAAATTTTAACAATGCCATTAGTAAAATGTCTCCTTGTGCCTTAATCTTTTCTAACACTAAACAACACAACTCAAACAACCATCATTAAGATTTGGGAAGGTTGACCCTTAGGTTTTTCTGTGTCATCATAACATCAAACTATGTGATCGTTATGACTTTTACATCCATTTTTAGGGATTAAAAATTCAACGTTAGAATTGAATTTCACGTGTTTTCAAGTGAACTGGTCATTAAAACACAGACCACTCCACAACGAAGGCCTTAAGGCTGATTTGAAGACATTCCTTGGTGCTTTTGAGGCTGCAGATTAGATCAAAGTTGGACAAATACATTTCCTTTAACATGTTACAAGAGCTTTCATTATTACAGTATATTGATTAGCTACTAATATTCAATTCCGATTAATCAATTCATTCTGAAGACATACAACAGGTCTAGATTGAATTTGTACTAAACACAGAGTTTTTTTTTGGATCAAGAAAACTAAGCCTTGATAACGGATCCCTATTTGAAGCTTGGAGGTGCCAGGCGAACATAAATTTAACCATTCTGGAGATATAGTACGAAGGCAGCGACTACATCATTTCGTATCAAGCTGTTGAGCAAACACTTGGCTCAATCCCCAGATGGCATCAGGAAGCAGAAGAGATGGAGCTTTGCAGAAGCATCCATACAGATGAGTGGAAAACTGTGAGTCTGTATAATATTGGTAGGGGGTGTTCCTGACACCCTGGCAAGTCCCATAATCGGCTTTCCTCAATGACAGCAAGGAGCCCAAAGTACAGTCTAGTCTGTCTTACAAATGCACGCACACACACCTATGCAAATGCACACACACACAAACACCTGGCCTGAAACATAGGAGGTCCGAGACTGCCAGCTGAAGAGCAGGATGCACATCAAGTTGGAGGGAAACTCGCACAAGCATTCTGTGAGTGCAGAATTAAACCAGCAAGAAGCAGCTTCTGGTCCAGAGATGAAACAGCGATATGTGCAGCATGTGCATACTTGACATAGAAACGCATTAGAGTCACATCTTTAAGAACTAAAACAAGTTGTGTGTCTTTAGTCTCTCTGATTCTTCCCACTTGCATCTAAGGTGCTAGAGAGCACTGCTAAAAGGTGTGAGGGGATCATGCAGAGCAGCTGAGAGTACTGAATGCTTTAATGGTATATTTCTAATGTGACTTTTGATACGAAATCCATACAAGATGTCAGTGACATTTCAGATGATCCACGAATGTAAAATAAATCAAAGAAGTACAGATCAAATAAACATGTTTGTCAGTATTTAGAAACTAATCCTGTCTCCTATCAGGGCAAAATGTTAAAATCATGTTACGTCCTAACGATGAAAATGTTTTTTTTTATTTTCAGGTACAGGACATGAAGCATATTGTGAAAGGAAGAGCAAAGAGCTCTCTCAAGACTTTCACGGCATTATTGTTGCAAACATTCCAATAATATTAGATACAGAAGTGTTCCTTATTTTTGAATATTCCAATAACTGGAAAACAACCTTTTATCATAATTCAACAATTACCTGTCCAGGATGCACCCCACCTCTCACCCAGTGACCGCTGGCACCAGCACCCCTCGCAACCCCACTGGGGATAAGCATGTGAGATAATGGATGGATGGAAAGTAATAAAGCAGAAAATAATAATGAATTGGTGTGTTGGAGATTTCTTGTTTTTGTCTGGCTTATTTTCTGCTCCATAAATATTGTTTTTATTTTCGATAGCTGCCTGCGGCTTTAACGAGTCACCGTGTTCGACAGCTTCATGAATAACCGAGCACGCTTATCTGTCCTGACCCTCCTGGGGACATAGCAGGGAGGAAACAAATGCGAAACCCAGCCAGGATCAATGCTGCCAAAAATGTGACGGACTTTTGGTGGCATGAGGAGGTAATTTGGGATTTTTCAGCACTTAAGCTTACGGGAAGAGAAACTTGAGGATAATGTAACATTTGTGCTTTTATCTCATGCTGTGCACAAATTTCATGATGCATAAAGAGGGATCTCATATTAATAAACAAACCGCTGCTAATGCTCATCTTGTTAGTTTGCTTTTAATCAGCGCAAGACCCAGAACTATTGATTACTCTGTTCTGTATGTGTATGTATTGGAATTTGTTTATTAATTAATTTCTACTTTTTCTTTTTTTTTTACAGCAGTACGGTGACCGAAAAATTACTAAGACCTTCTGCACATTTTCCCCAAACCATCTCTGGTTACATTACATTTTGCATTTAATGGAAGCAGATGTCCTCACTGAAAACTGATATTAAAATTAGTTTGATGAAGTGAAACATTTAAGTATGAAAGAATCCAAAACAGCAGAAATCTGAAATAATTTTTCTGTCACTGGATTTCACACAGTACAACTACAACATATCACTATGTAAATAACTGCTAAGTTGGAAAATTCTCCTTGTTCATTGGTTCATTAGTGGTTAATTTAGGCTTTTATTTTAAAGAATGGTAGATTTCTTTGTTTGTTCTGTGGTTACTTAGCAACACCCTGCAAGATGAGACAACGTTAGAATATAAAGAAACCAGGAGAAAATCTTTAAAATAGCGCACTCGGAAAGCAGAATGAGTTATAAGTATAATTGTGATTTGTAATAAGAAATGTTATAGGTTTATTTAAGAAACAGTAGAATGTCGTGGTTTTTAAACAAAACTGTATATTGACGAGTTAAAGGACATAACGTGTTCTTTTTGTGTGTAACTGAATATTGATATGTTGGTTTTATACAAGAGCTGAGTATGTCCAACGGTTCTGTATCCTTTTGTTTTATACTACAGTTTTCACGGTGTCAATGGAAAGAAAGTTTGAGATTAAATTGCACCCGTTTGAAACTCCCTGCGTCTGGCTGTTCAATCTGAGAGGCCGCTACAGTGAAAACTCAACGCAAGAGACCAGATCTTTCTGCAGTGAAGCTGACACCATCCCATCTGGAACGAAGCTGTCTCCTCTCGCACCAATGATCTCACACAGGCAAGATAAAGCATAAAGTTAAAACGGACAATCACAAGAACAAGCTCACAGCATAACTATCATAACTTTTAACTATCCCTTGACACGTAGTGTCAAGGGATAGTTAAACAAGTCTTCTGTGAACCCAAAGCAGACAGAAAGCAAATAAAATGTCACTTCCAACAGAGAAAACAGAAAATCCTGTTGACATGCTGTCTAGTTCCAGAGAAAGAAAATTAACAGAAAAAGGCCAAGAGATGCACATCCAAGAGAACAAAAAACGTGAGAAAGTGTTCCACAAAGTTTATGATTCTTGGAAGTGGGTAGCAAGAGAAACTAGGAAAAAACTAAAGGCCCTCTGTACATTAGAAGAATTCAATGATTTACAGGAAAGCATTCAAGCAAAGTATGATGCTGTAAGACTGCAGTACGAACCCATTCTACGTAACAGTAACACCACAGCAGAGATTGTCAAAAAGATGGAAGCCTGTGTTACACTCAAAATAAATCTGTGACCTCATAAACAATCGTATAGAGACTATTGATAAAGATTATAATAGTCACCTTGAGAAAGAAAGAGTAATGAGTAAGAGAAACATTAAACAAAGATGAATATGGATCTATCTTTGGTCACACTCATACTGAAACCATAAACTCATCAAAGTCATCAGAGAGTTCAAGCAGACATTCCAGTTCATCTAGTATTAATAACAGAAAGGCAGATGCACAAGCAGAGCTTGCTGCTAAAGAGGAGCAATCAAAGGCTACAAGGTTAAATTCAAGCACAGCAAGCACAACTCCAAAAATTAGAAAATGAATGGAAACTTAAAGAGTCAAAAATGCTGTCAGAAATGAAGCAAAGGGAAGTGGAAATGCAACAACAGCTGGAACAAGAAAGACCAAAACTGCAACAGTTAAAAGAAGAAAAGGAAATAGCTGTAGCGGCAGCTCGTGTGAGAGCATATGAGGAATTTGAACACTGTGAAAACAATGTTGAAGAAATTGAAGATATTAATTACAGAACTGACCCTGTCTTCTCTAGAGCTAAACCCTGCTTAAATGCAGATGCTGCATCGTTCCAGCCTTACTAATCATCTCCTGAGGTGACAATAAATCCAGAAACATCCAATCTAGCTGAACCATTCGCAAGCTCATTAAGTATGACTCGCTTGCCAGTCCCTGAACCCACAATATTTAGCGGAGATCCTTTGAGGTTTACTGATTGGAATATGTCATTTATGACTCTTATTGACAGAAAGCCCATCCCAGCAAGTGAGAAGATGTTTTAACTCAGAAATTATCTTGCTGGAGAAGCACGCAAAGCTGTTGAAGGTTTCTTTTATCGAGACTCAGAAAGTGCATACATCGAAGCATGGAAAGTCTTACAAGACAGATATGGAAACACGTTTATTATACAGAAAGCCTTCTGCGACAGGCTTGCAAGATGGCCAAAGATCAACGCAAATGACTCACTTGTGCTACGTGAGTTTTCTGACTTCCTCCAAGGCTGCAAAGAAGCAATTCCACATGTCAAGGGACTAGCTATCCTCAATGACTGTGAAGAGAACCATAAATTGATCAAAAAATTGCCTGAATGGATTGTTCGCAAGTGGAGTCGAAGAGTTGTAGAGGAACTTGATGGATCAGGTGATTATCCAGATTTTAAATACTTCACAGATTTTTTGAGCAAAGAGGCAAAAATAGCCTGCAATCCCATCGCCTCACCCCTGTTGGGGGGAAATTTCAAGTTTCCAGATGACAGAACCCCAAAAAGAGCCAAAACTTTCAACACACTAAATGCACTAAATGAAGGAGGTGCAGGTTCACTGGGACATGCTAAATGTTACGTTAATGCTTTTGCAATATTTACAACACATCTCTAAAAGCAGCTAACTTTCCGCTTTGCTTTGAAATATTTATTAGCTGTGTATATTCTTTTAAAAGAATATTGGAAAAACTAGACTTAGTTATCAATAATAGTGGGCTGCTTGTATCATTCAGAGTTTATTGGCAGTATCCATACAAACTCGCTACCATAAAAAGCCTGAGAGCTGTTCAGCTTTCAATTTTGTTTTTCTTGTTTTATTTTAGTTCAAATAAATAACTAAACTTTAAACCTAAGAACATTCAAACTTTCACAGTCCATTAAATAAATATTAACCATGCAACAAATGCCTGACAATCTCATCATATGGTGGTTTTGCTGCATAGCAATAGAAGAGAAATGCTGAAAAAGTAATAGTGATCTTTTTTTTTATTTGTGTTGAGTATTTTAAGCACACTTCAAAGTGCATTTCTTTCATTATTTGTCACATCAGTTTTACTGTACTTCAATCTCACAGTAATTATGTACCAAGAAACATAACTGCAAATTTTACTGTACATGCAAACGTCTTATAGTTAACACAGCCTGAACAAATCGCTTCCAAAAACTATACAAGTTATCCTTCAAAACGGTTCCAAAAACTGAAAAATTATAAATCATTAATTGATAAAATACCAGTGTGTATGAAACTGGTGTCTCTTCAAAAATACACAAGTACCCATGAAATAATTCTCAGTTGCAAAGAGGTTGGTGACCCCTGCTCTGTAGACTGTGCCAAAGCTCTAGTGTTTCATTATAGAATCTCTCTGGACTGTAAAACATAAAAAGAAGAAGAAGAAGAAGAAGAAGAAAAAAAAATCAATAGTCATGGTGAGTATCTGAGTATCTTGTGTGTTTACAATATGAAGTGTGAACATGTTAAGCTCATCCATCCTGGCAGACTTCAAGCTGACAGGTCTGTATTCTTAATGAACCTAGGGGGATAACACTGCCAGCACTCACTCACTCACTCTCCAGTCAACCTGTGCAAACGTCCTCTGATGGCTGCTGCAAATGACTCAAGGCAAAACCCAGCACAAACTGGCTGAAGCCCGCTGTAGACGGCGTGTGTCTGCGCATCTGCTAGAAGACCGCAGAGGACCAGGTGGATGGAAGCAGGTGGATGCACATGTATACCATCTAACACACAGAAAGTTTAATTGCCTGCCAGCTGGTGACACTGGTATCCCTCACTCCTGCGGCGATCAATCTTAAAGAAAAAGGTAAACAATGCTGTGGCGATGTCCTTTAAGTCAGTCTGTCTGCCCTTGTTAGGAGGTGCAGCACCTCTAAAGTGGAAACAAAGACACAATTGACATACAAAACTGATTCTTACAGACTGAGCAAAATCTGTCTTTTTTTTAATGAGTATCAACCAACCACAGCTTAGCACCGTATGATAAAAGCTTATATCAATGCGGAGATTGCTTGTTAAAGATATAGCAGAGAGTTGCAGCACAAAGGCATTAATTAGGTCCCCATCAAAGGGAAGCGCAGCCGACTGAATAAGCGTTGGCTGCTGTGTCTCTTTATGCCTACCTTTATGTCTTAATATCCCATATGTGTTTGCGCATGAGTTATAAAATAGCCCGTCGACATTTTGCCAAATAACCGTCAGTATCTTGTGTATGTCTGCGTGAGCGCTGCGAGGAGAGAGAGAGATGACACGTCGAGAGTAAAGCCATGACTGGTTAACAGTAAACACACCGCTGAGGGCTCATTAGAGTAGCTCTTCCTGCTTCTCGTTGCTCTGCTCCAGTGACAGGGCTTTGGTTCCAACCATATCTGGCATCCAGCAACAAGCTAATTAGCGGCTAGCACTCATTACAGTAAGGCTAGCGGGCGCAGCTCCTCTCCAGCTCATCATCTGTAACCTGTCAAAGAAGCAGCGTGCAATGTTTTGGCTGCGCCTCGCACAGGAAGAAAGAATGGAAAAGGTTTTTCTAAACAACCTGTTCTTCCCGTACTCGCACCATGGCTCGGCACCATTGCTGTGCCTTTGGAAAAGTTGTCGTGCTGCTCAAACTTTTCCGCATTTGTCACGTTCCAACCACTAACGTCCTTGTGCTTTATTCGGAGTCCATTTGACAGACCATCACAAAGTAGTACATCATTGTAAAGTGAATGGAACATCTGTGGTTTATCAAGTGTCAGGCCACATCATTTTTTGTTTATCTTGTTAAAATCTAGCGCCACAAGCTGCTTCAGGATGAACGTAATCGGTGAATGTTATCCAACTCTTAAGTGAGGGTTTCAAAGGTCTGTTAGAAAACAATAGAGAGCAAAGACCAGCAGCAGATATGTTAGGTATAAAATCGTGGTGAAATTTCAAACAATGTTAGGATACAAACTATATCCAGATATTTTACCATGTCATTGTTGATTGTTCAGTTCCAGTTAGAAAAACCAACAAGACCTTGATGTGGACATAAAATGACAAGTCTGGCAATAATAACTTTAATTAGAGAAGCAGCCAAGAGGCTCATGGAGCTGCAGAGATCAAGAGCTCAGATGGAAAAAAACAGGATGGTGGGTGGTCATTAATTTCTGTACATTTTCTTACTTGTTCATAAAAATTCCTACTGACTGTTTGTGTGTGATATATTGACAAAAAAAAACATCTATGGTTGATCCAGCTTCTGTCGTTGATCTTAACCATAAATTCAACCTTTGTGATCATAATTTAACATTGAATTAA